AAACATTCAATCCATTGGTCTGCCATGTGGAGGACGTCTCGGTTCCCGGAGACGCACCATTTGGATGAAGATTGTGGCTATCTGACCAGCCCACCATTCTCAGTGAGAGATGGCCCATTCATGGCCACCTCAGATCTGGACGTGGTCCAGATCTCATTTCTCATGGTTACATTGTGGCGCCACCCCAGCGTGCATCACGGCCACCACCTGATCCTCCAGTAAACGCATCGATTCTGCCGATTGTTTCCACTAACTCGATCAGGAAATAATGCATGTTATTATTCTTAATCTGCAGTAATTGCTACTGTGCAATTAGCAATATACAATTGGCTGCCGGGTCGCGGCTTGACACCTCTAATGCTCGTGTGCTGAGACCAACGGGGAAATTGTACATTTCAGCATTGAATTAGCAATGATTTGCGCTCCTCATTGACTTCTTTCATTTCACCGGCTTCTGTAACAGTTATTAGCTGCTTGGGAAGCGGCGGAGCTGCCAAGCCAGACGGCGACTTCGAAAGGAAAAGTACAGGTTGTATACAGAGTCCCACTGCATTGGTAAATAGAGTGTAAATTACAGTACAGACATTGGTGTAATCTGACATTGCCACAATATGAACAGTGACTGGCCAATGGATAGGGTGCACTCTCAGTGATGTCACCGGTCTCTAGTGAAGGGATAGGCTGCACTCTCAGTGATGTCACCGGTCTCTAGTGAATGGATAGGCTGCATTCTCAGTGATGTCACCGGTCTCTAGTGAATGGATAGGCTGCATTCTCAGTGATGTCACCGGTCTCTAGTGAATGGATAGGCTGCATTCTCAGTGATGTCACCGGTCTCTAGTGAATGGATAGGCTGCATTCTCAGTGATGTCACCGATCTCTAGTGATTGGATAGGCTGCATTCTCAGTGATGCCCCCGGTCTATACGCTTTTTCGGGTGCCTGTTTTGTCAACTATCAACTGTAAACTGAGATTGACCATTGTTGGCCTCCTGTTGAAAACACTTGTTTTCTGGCTTCAATGCTTTCTGACAATGAGTAAGGATGCAGATCTGGAAACAGCACCTGGAAAAGTAGTGAAGCCTTTGTAACAGCACGACAGCCAGACAAGGTGCATTTTCAGAAGGAGAGGTCAGCAACGGCGGCGGCCTCCACACACTTCAAACATGTTTCCTTGAATATTGCGATCTACAAAATTTGGCTACAAGAAAAGGACCCAGAGGTACGAGAAGGACCCAGACACTCAATACTCACATATTGGAGAACTTTAAGCTGCAGTGATGCCGCATCCAGGTCATACAACTCCCCTGTGAAGAGACACAACAGTTCTATGTCAATACAGGAAGGCAAAACTGTATCTCTGTGTGGTCGCTGACCCTTTCCTACTCTATCCAAAACTTTAAAATTGGCTATATCTACATTTACATACAGACATCCCAACTCTCCGGGAGTCTCCCGCTATTGGATAGCGGCTCCCGGCCGCCCGGGAGAGAAACGTTTCCCCCCGGAAAGGTTTAATCTGCTCGATCGAACAGAGTAAACCTTTCCCTGCCATCGTTTCTTTTTTTTTTCTTTTCTGACATCGGGAGCCGCGGCCCGACCGTCAGTCAGAAAAGAAAAGGCATACGAACGCATAGCTAGATTCCTATTGGCTATTTCACTTTGCAATAGCCAATTACAAACTAGCTAATGCACCCGCCCACTGCTGCTGTCAATCAGCGGAGGGGGACCTGAATTTTTCTATCAGGTCCTCTTCTGGTGATTGAAAGCAGCAGGGGGCGGGTGCAATAGCTAGTTTGCTATTGGCTATTGCAAAGTGCAATAGCCAATAGGAATCTAGCTATGCATTCGTATGCCTTTTTATTTTATGCTGACGACTGCGACTGTCAAAATGCTGAAAAAAAAAAGCCTGCAGATAGCAAAGAAGCTATTGCTTCCTGTGCTATCTGCCATCATTTCAGGGGGGTGCTCTCTCCCAGCCCTCCGCGGGAGGTACCTCCCTGAAATGAGAGGGACACCTCCCTGAAATTGCTTCTTTCAGGTTGGGATCCCTGTAAATATGTCTTCCAGAATTGGTGACCATTCAGTTACATTGAAGCTCTGAATTTGTAACCATCCCCGGTGAACTGCTTATCTTTTGTATCCCTCATATGAACACAATGGTTGCCAATATTCGTATTTTCCAATGAGCACTATAGTAATTGCTATGGACAGCTCAGTTATGGCTGGGGGCCCGGGAGGATCATTGTTGGCTTTCTTTCTGTATCTCTTGGGGGACTTCATTGTATCAACTGTAACAACTTCAGAGATTTGTCCTTTTTTTTTTTTTTTTCTTCAGTGAAATTCCAAACTTACATAGTTACATAGTATTATTATAGTTACCATAGTTACATAGTTACATAGTATTATTATAGTTACCATAGTTACATAGTTACATAGTATTTGAGGTTGAATAAAGACATTAGTCCATCAAGTCCAACCCATTAGGATCTCATTCTAGGAGTACCTGTACCCCTGTATATTACCTGTACCCCTTTATATTACGGTCCCTTAAGAAATCATCCAAATTTAACTTGAGACCCCCAAAATCCCTTCCAGAACTTGGTTTTGAACCAACTTTGGCTTGATTGACCTGACCTGTAGGGTCCCCAGCATGCAGGGCCGGATTTACTCTCTCTGCTGCCCCAAGGCCAGGTCCCTCAATACCGCCAACCCCCTAAGGTTGGCCCCCCTAACCGCCAAACCCCCTCCCCCCCAATGGAGGACGGCACACCTGCAGGTGCTGCATACAAGTGATCTCGGCGACATCACCAAGATCACTTGTACAAAACAAGCGGCGGCTTCCCCGCTGTACATTTAGCCCTGCTTGCCCAACGCCGGGATACATGTAGAGAATAACTACCCGCCCGGCTCCCGGTACTGCATGTCCCGAGATAGGAATTCCACACCCCTGATGCCCCAAGGCTGGGCCTTGGTTGGCCTTGTGGGGAGTCCGGCCCTGCCCGCATGCAAGCTTACAGAATAGCTGGTTTTACAACACGTCATAACAGATGGCCATGTTATAAATGAGATATTGGACATTACAAGGACTGCTGCCATGCTACAAGACTGACCGTTTTCCCCAAACACTGATTGTGATTATATCCCGTTACCAGGGTCGCCACCTTTTCTTCAAGCGAAACCCAAACACTCAAGCGACGCGCGGACATTTTTTTGGGGAATTTTAATTTAATTTTTGGGGAAAATTAGTCGTGGCTTATTCATATCTAAATAGCGCCACCCACTCATATGCAAATATTACAGTGGAGACTATTTTCAATGGGGGTCGGTAACTCCTATCTTAATTTTGGTTGCCCCTGTCTGCCTGACATCTTGTGTCCGGGCTTGCCATGAAACCCGGACAGGGCATTCAAAACCCGAACTGTCCGGGTGAATCCTGGACAGGTGGCAACCCTAACCCATTACTCCAATTTATTCTTGGTGCTTTGAGTCCATATTATTACTCGTTCACGGTTATTCACAAAAGGGTGAAGAGTGTGGAGAACTTGGGAGAAGTGAACAATCTAGGACAGGGATGGCCAAACTGCGGCCCTCCAGCTGCGGTGGAACTACGGATCCCATGAGGCTTTGCAAGATTCTCACAGCCACAGACACTGACTCCCGGAGAGAGATGCTTCATGGGATTTGTAGTTTCACCCACAGCTGGAGGTAGGGTTGCCACCTGTCCAGGATTCACCTGGACAGTTCGGGTTTTGAATGCTGTGTCCGGGTGTCATGGCAGCTGAAACCCAGACACAAGATATCAGGCAGACAGGGGCAACTAAAATTAAGATAGGGGCTACTGGCCCCCCCACTAAAAATAGTCTCTACTGTGATATTTACATATGAATGGGTGATGCTATGTACATATGAATAAGCCACGACTCATTCTCCCAAAACAATTTCCATGCATCGCTAGAGTGTTCGGGTTTCGCTGGAAGAAAAGGTGGCAACCCACAGCTGGAGGGCCGCAGTTTGGCCATCCCTGATCTAGGACAACGTAGCTGAACTGGAAAGTGAGCTGCATTGGAAAATGTTTCCAAATCAGCTACTTTGTCCTGGATTTTACCCTTTCTCCGGCCTTCTCCAAGCTCTGCAACCTTCTGTGAATAACTCGGAATATGTTTAAGAGAGAGGTCTCAGAGCCACCAAAATGCATTGGCTGTTCTGTGTTGGAGGGATGCAGTGTGCCTGTTACTTGTGTATTGTCATAGTTGTCCATGTTTGGCCGCAGTGGCCAGTGAACTGCTGACATGTAGCGCTGTAATGTCCTGTGTCTGTAGGTGACTGACACAGAGCAGTTTTTGGGGGTCCATATTGCCACACTTTATTCTCTCCTGCAGGCTTGTCACTATTAAAGCATTCCCTTTAAACCCCAATAATTCAGTCAAGGCCCCACTTGAGGCAGGGTTGCCACCTTTTCTTCAAGTGAAACCTGAACACTCTAGCGACGCACTGACATTGTTGTTGGGAGTCGCGTCTTATTCATTTGTAAATAGCACCACTCATTTATATGTAAATATCACAGTTAAGACTATTTTCAGTGGGGGGGCAGTAGCCCCATCTTCATTTTGGTTGCCCCTGTCTGCCTGACATCATGTGTTCGGGTTTCTGCCCCCATGAAACCCGGACACAGCATTCAAAACCTGGACTGTTCGGGTGAATCCTGGACAGGTGGCAACCCTAACTTGAGGTCAAACCCAGCACTGCACATGGAAGCCAATGCCGGCACATGTGGCTCTACACTTAGGGTCAGTGCCGGCAATATTTGTCTCATGGTGTCTACAAGGGTGAGTATGCATGTCATGCATTGCTGTTGGTGCCATGTGTCCTATGAGAGGCCCAGCATTGCCTGGAGAAGTTGCCGAGTTGCCTAGCTATACCTTTGACCTGAACTTCTAAACTCCCGTTACCAACCTGGTTTGCCTCCTGACCTTCTGTGTTGAATCTCAGCTTTCTGTTATTGACTCCATCTTGCACCCTCGGCTTCGTTCATTGCCTTCTGATTTTGTAGTTTTGCTGCCGAAGTGATCTTGACTTCAAATTTCGACTACTGACCCCGGTCAAGCCCCTTTCACTTATTGGATTTCAGTTCTATTAATAATGGAGGATCGGCATGATATGTGGGTGTTACCTAGGGTGGTCTGCAAGAAAACATAGACTGCCTAGGAACACCCACTCCTCCAAAGTGACACCAACCCTTCATGGCAACCTTCCAACCCTTCTGATTGGAGCAAGGGCACACTTCTGCTGGTGAGCACCCGGCTGTCTTTCCCTTGCCATGGAGGAGCTTTATTCCTGTGCCTTGGCACCCTTGAAGGCAATTTGATATTTGCATAACTCCTCCAAAGAGCCAGTCCACTGCTTTCATCAGGTTTGAGGGCTCATGAGAGGAGTAATGAGGAAGATATTTAAAGCCCCCCCCCCAGCCACTCTCCCCAAGCATGATCTGCCTGCATTGCATTGAGACCCAGTGATGACAAGGGGCTGGATTCCCCCCCTCCCCGCTCCGATCCCCCAGCACTGACTGGCGGAACGGAAGGGGGAGGGGGCGGGTACAGCCTCTAGATAGGCGGAGCCAGCTGTCAGTCACGCAGCTGTGCGGATCCCGGCACAATTGGCTTCAGTTTCATTGAATTGAATTCAGCTTCAGTATATGCTGCTCGCGGTATACTGAGCTTAGGGTGACGGGAGGACGCTAGTTTGTGTCCTCCCGTTACCCTAAGGAGAACTATGGGGAAAAGCCTTAACCCCATAGTTCTCCTTTAAGGTATCCAATGAACACAGAAAGGTTTTTTGTAATACTTTCATTAGCATAGATAAGGGGGATGGGGACCAGAGAAGGCAAATATAAGGAGGTTAAGTTTAAGTTTAAGAACTATTATTAAAAAAGTCCGACATAATCAGTCCAGTTTGAAAGTTTTGTAAGGAGACCGACGGTTTAAAGAGGCCACTGGAAAACCAGAATGTTAAATATCCACATTAAACCATAATGTCTCTTAAAAATGCCCCAAGGAAGGAAAAGAGAGCTCGGCAGGAGATGAAGGAAATATTAAACAGAAAGTACCTAGGGCCTTAGACGCGATATCATTTATTGGCTCGGTTCCTTCATCTGCTTCATTATTGAAACCTTCGTTATTTCATCGCTGCACATTGAAGCCAAATGACCTTAATTTGATATATATGTTTTCCAATGGCGTTATTCATTTCTACTCGTCCAGAAAAACTCTGGGTGGGCTAAACCTACAAACGTGTATCATTTAATAAGCACGGAGTTTAAAATTCTTTATCAAAGAACTTCACCGAGAGCAATCCACGTCTACAACCTTCCACGTAACGCGGCCGTATGAGAATGTGAGGAAAACCATACGCTTTAAAGGAGAACTATGAGGGGGGGAGGGGGTGCTTTTCACTCACCTCATAGTTCTAGCCGACCTCTGACAATGAGACTGTCACAGGTCGGCTCAGTAGATCGGGAACACATACCGTTCGCTCACCTCTCGATCCTGTCACGGCTCTCTGCCGTGACAGGGGAGGGGCTGGATTCCCCCCTCCCCGCTCCGATCCTCCAGCGCTGACTGGCGGAACGGACGGGGGATGGGGCGGGTACCTCTGCCTCTGGATAGGCAGAGCCAGCTGTCACTCACGCAGCTGGGCGGATCCCGGCATAATTGTCGGGATCCGCTTCAGCTGCGGCGTCTCAGTATACCGCGAGCTGTAGCTCCCTATATACCGAGCTTAGGGGTGATGGGAGGACGCTAGTTTGTGTCCTCCCGTTACCCTAAGGTGAACTATGGGGAAAAGACTTAACCCCATAGTTCTCATTTAATTACCAGGTACCTGCGCAAAACTTTGCATTGCCCCTGTATGTGATGGATATTCATGATCAGGGGCGGATTTCCCACAAGGCCAACCAAGGCCCGGCCTCGGGGCAGCAGGGAGTAGAGGGGCAACAGGGGAGTGGAATCTCTATCTCCCCAAGCCCAGACACGCAGTTAGGGGCGCTGGGCGGGTAGTTGTTTTCTACACTTAGCAGAGCTAAATGTACAGCGGGGAAGCCGCCGCTTGTTTTGCACAAGTGATCTCGCTGATG